CTTGAATGGGAAAGTATTTGCATTTCTGCTCAAACAGAAAGTGGTGGCTGATGCCCTTTCCCCTGTTTGTGCTCAGCACCTGGGCTCCCAAGATAAACTCTTCTTGGATACCAAGGATCTTTTTAGCAGTCACCGCTGATGACTGTGGAATCCAGCCCCACATCCTTCTTCCTCCTGATGGGTTTCTACAGAATTGCAGTCACTGGCCACCGTTCCACAGCAAAGTTTAGCTAGAACTCTCTGTCTTCAGCTCCCACAGTGTAAACCCATCAAGTCTGTTTCCCAGAAAACTGATCATAAATATCTCTTACCATATGTCTGAACAACTGAAAATATATCTGCGGTTTCCACTCCGGGCTCTAGCAGGTTTACGACATTGTCTGCTCACACGCAAGTCAAACAGCGAGCTTAGGAAATCAACCTGACCTGTGGTCGGGGTTCTGATGCAGGCAGCAGTGCGTGTGGCTTTGGCAGTTGAAGGAGAGGTTTGGGGAGGTGTAGGTGGTGGGGGAGGGGGGAAAGATCGGCGTCAAAGAGACACCAAGAGCGCTTCCTTAAACAGAAAGTAAAAGAAAAGCAGCTTTTGGATTCATTTGTGCTTGCTTGCGTATCTCAGGCTTTTGGGCAACATTTGAAAAATCGTTAATTCCGGAAAATTAAATTCCTGCTTTAAGATTTTTTTCTAATCACAGGCAGTGATGGAGGTGAAAATAGTCTTGGGTGGTTTCATGTGTTCTTTTCCAACAAGATTTTTGGGTCGTGTTTACCCAAATGGTTTATCTTCCGCTAACTCTCTTGAGAGTCCCCAGAGCAGCCGGTCAAAGGTGGGAAGCGTCAAAGCTATTTTAGGCCAGGTCTCTCGATCAGCAGTGCAAGAGAGCAAATAAAATGAATGGATTGGGGCAAGGAAACTTGGTTGGCAGCATTTAAACAAGAAGCTGAATTCACTCAGATGCTGCCAACCAAATCCATGTGCCCCAATCCACTTATCTTGTTTGCTTGATGCATAATTTGGGTGTCTTGTTTTTTGTTTTTTGTTTTAATGCTAAAGCTCTGAGCTCACCCGGCAACCTGCTGCACTTTGGATGGCATTGATGCCCCAGAGTGCTGCTCTGCTTTTTGTAAGCTGTGGGACTTGGATTCAGCTGTTAACATGGTTTACATCGGTGACTGGAATTTAAGCTATCCGAGAAAGCTTTGGATATCTTAGAAAAAGATGCAAAACCAAGGCTTTCTGAGCTGAGCAGCACCTGGCCCAATATTGCATGAAGGAAGTTCCAGGTTCAAGCTCAGCATCTCCAGCTCCAAAGAAGCAGGGAGACAGGTGATGGAACATTGCTGCAGAATCCATGCTTTGTTTTGACAGGGATTTTTTGAAGAAGCCCCAGTGGCTGGATTCCCATCCTGCACTAAGCTAAAATCTGTCATTTACAAACTGTAGCCGCTGGGTTAACACACTATACCAAGGCAGGGATGGGCAGCTGTTAGCCAGTGACCACCTTTTTGCAACTGATGCAGCCTCCCTTACCATGAAAACTAGGAGTTGTGTCCTCGGTTATTTTGAGATGGAAAGTAGATGGGAGTGGCAGTGAAGGGGATTAAAATAGGCGTATCACCACTGGAAAACAAGACATCTCTCTCAAAAACAATCTCTGTTGAACATTTCAGTCCTATCTACAGATGTGATGGAGCCCTACCCAGTTTGTTGCCCTCAGCCCCCCTGAAATGTTAACTGCTGCCTTTGTGGACCAAAAGGTTGCTCCGTGTTAGACGTAGCCACCATGTGGACAATATGAGCTAGACGTATGAAGTTGGCTTGCAGCCGTTTCCTAAGATGCTAGTGCCTAGGACTGAAAGACCCACCTCTTGGCTCCAAGGTCATTCTCTCTTTTCGGCCAGGTTCTGTGGTGGAAGGCGCCCTCTACAAATGCATCCTGAAGCCACTGCGGGATTCAATTTATGCCCAGTTGCTGGACTTCCGCACCCATGATGGAACTCTGAACCGCTTGCGTGAAAATCAGGTGACCTTGAGCCAGCAAAGCTTGGGAGAGCTCGGAGTGGCAGCCAGTGTGCCCGACGGGGCTTGCTTGGAGCGTATCCAGACCAAGCTGAGTCTCCTGCACCAGGCCTATTCGCCCAAGAAGAAGGAGACCCAGATGCTGAAGATCTGCAAGATGCTCTACGAGGCCATGAACCTCAGTTGTGATAAGGCAGGTACGAGGCTTCTGGGTGGGTTAGTTTTCAACTGAATTATGTATATTTTTGTGATCATGGAAGAAGTTTACTTGGGGGAAAGCAGGGAAAGGTTGTCCTGTAAAATAAAGAAGAGCGTGCTAAATCACTTCAAATATTCTCCTTCCAAGGCAGAGATAGAGCTTTCTCCTGCTCTTTATTTCTACAGTTTAGTATTTGGAGATAGGCTGTCCCTGCACATGGAGGCTCCATTTGGCTACCATAACAGCTGATTGCCCCCTAAACCTGCTGTGATTGATGAATTTACTAAATCCTCTCATCTAAGAGGTCATCAGATGCACACCTCTAGTATCAGTAGCCTTATAAGCTATTGCTGGGTGGCTGCTGAAGAAGATGTGAAGGACGCAGAAATCCCAGCTTCCTGCTTAGGCAGCCAGTATGTCTTGTATTTGTTTCCCTTTATGGAACCAAGGCCAGCACCCAAGGGGGTAATCTTAAGTCAAGTGGTGGGCACATGCCAGATACAATCTAAATTCACCCCCTCACTGGGGTGGGTTCTGTGCACGGATGCAGAAGTGAATGTAGACCTTGGCCAGATTTGTGTCCCTCTCATCTTGTTGCTACCAATGGGAGGTGTTTTTTCCGAACCTGATTGCTGGATCAGTGGTGAACTGGGGTGAGGTGATTACACTGCACAGGAAAGGATTCTCATTTCACTCCCAGGTTAGGTCTCTGCTTGAAAATCCCATATGTGTGGTTAAGCAATTTGGTGGGGGAAGCCATTGTCATCAGTGGAAGGTTCCCCACTCCAGATGTATAGATTTGGGGGGGGCAGAAGTTTTCCCCTCCTGCTATGTAACACTTTGCCATGCCATCTGCTTCTGCTGGATCTGTATGCTCTCAGTTAGTTTTCAGGAGAAAAGAGTTCTCATGCAGTGCTTCCATGATGATATTACCAAGCAGCCTCTGCCCCTTCCTTCGTTCCTGAGCTGCTTCAGATGTCTTCTCTCCCACCCCATAATATGCCTTTGCTTTCTATTTTTGGAAGAGCCATTCGGTGCTGATGACTTCCTGCCAGTTCTTATCTACGTGCTGGTGCACTGTGATGTGGTGTCAGTACAGCTGGATGTGGAGTACATGATGGAACTGATGGACCCCAGTCAGCTGCAGGGAGAAGGTAGTGTGGTTCATTGTGTTCAAGCTGGGTCTGTTTCCAAGGAAGGGTTTTCCTCCACTGGCCATCAGGAGATCATCTTAAGTTCTAGCTGAGGCTCAGATGTTCTTCTAAGGCATTTAATATTGTACTTGCCGTACTGGAAGCCTTGGGGTTCATCGAACTGCCCTTTTGCTCGCTGAAGTGCACTGTGGTTATCTGCTGTTAGATTGACAGATGAGAGAGGAGAACAAGAAACTAACAAGAACGGCCTGAATTTGGTTTTTGGGTTAACTTGGGCTTGTGAAAGGACCTTTGGAGACTGAAAGTTCTGGACTGGCACACAAATCTTATTCCTAAACTTTTCCTGTGTTCCCACGTTCATATCCTCCCCATCTTCATGCGTTCTAGGCGGCTACTACCTCACTACTTGGTTCGGGGCTCTCTATCACATTGAGAACTTCCAGGCAGCTTCCACCATCACCAGACAGATCAGCGTGGAGGCCAAGCGCTCCATCCATCAGTGGCATCGCCGCCGCACCATCCACCATCACCGCCGCAATTTGCAGGTAAGAGTGGAAGGCAGTGAGAGGAGAGCCTTAAAGAGGAAAAGCAGAGCAACGGATGCCAGAAAAACCTGGCCAGCAGCTTCGACTCTCCCCTTTTGTCCACTGGCTTCTGTGGAGCAGGCCCTGTGCTGGTATAATGCTAACCACCCATCGAGTTGTTTTCAACTCGTAGCAACCCCATAGATGGATTTTCTCCATGACAATCTAACCTGGTCTTTCAGGTCTTCCAACAGTGCACTCATCGCCGCTGTAACTGAGTCCACCCCGCTTGCTGCTGGTTGTCTTCCTCTTCTCTTTCCTTCCGCCATTCCTGGCGTTAGAGCCTTTTCCAGAGAGCTGGGTCTTCACATAATGTGTTTGTTCAAAGGGCTGCATTGTGGGTTTGATCCTGTTGGAATGCTGTTATCTCCACAGTAATTGGTTATGTTCCCTCTTTTCAGAACATCCTTTATGTCTCCTTCCATGAACCCTTCAATAACCAAAAGACCATCTCAGTTCCTCCCAATATGACAACGGCGTTGGTCTGTGCAGCATGTGCTGAGAAGTATGGCATCTCTGATGGTGCAGACTATGGCCTTTTCTTGGTATCAGAAAGCTCCTCTGAACTCTTAACAGAGGACAGCTATCCACAGAAGATCCGTGCAGATCTTCTCCAATCCCAAGGGGGCCGTGGCAATTTTGTTTATAAGCCCAAAGATAGACCCCTGCCTGCCTTTGGTTCCTCTCTTCTTCAGGAGGCTGTCAGCTTGACTGAGTCCCACAAGCCTCTGGAAAGTGTGGGTGTGGAGCAGTCGGAGGTGGATTGACTGTGGCCTTGGAACTTTCCAGAAATGTCCTTTTGTCATCTTCTGGCTTGACAGAAATCTGAGAAAAGGCTGCGATTCCAGGGAATAAAGTTTCAGACAAGAAGAAGACTCTTGAGCAGAAGATCTTGGGAGTAGCTGTCATCAGCTCTGAAACTAGTAAGGGCACAGGAGTGGGGCGGACCTGTTAGTTGTTCTTCCCAGCATCACCCTCTTCTAGTTTTCCTCATTCTGGTTCGTCCCCACCCAAAATGAGTTTTCCAATCAACATTTCAAGAATCAACCCAGAGTAACTGGGAGAAAACTGCAAATTGTGTCATCAGCTCCAGGCTGCGAAGGTGTCTTGCTTTTACACATGGATTTCTTCTCTCCCTTTGCTCAAGTCTTTTATTATCATCTCTGATCAGGTTCTCCAGAGCCTTGAAAGTTGGCCCTGTGTCTCAAATTGCACACGCTGAGTACACTTTGCTACATTCCCAGTGGGGCTAGAAGGCTTTTTTGCCCACCCAAGAGAGACTGTCAAATTGATTATGGAAAAGTCAATCTGAACATATTGGTTTAATTTTACATATGACCTTTTTACGTATGGCCTTTTCTTAGCTTGGAATCTGGC